GAAATCAGTCGCTTCCTATAACCATCAATAAGCTTCTGACACCTCTCACCCGGAATTGACGGGGGGACCACTCTTCCTTTTGCAAACAGCTCCAGGTCTCTCTTATTGGAAGGACACCTTTTCCTAGACTTATCTCAACAGCAATTTTAGATCTCTCCACAGGTGTTCAATGGGATTTAGATCTGGGCTCATTGCTGGCCACTTCAGAACTCTCCAGCGCTTCTTTGCCATCCATTTCTGAGTGCTTTTTGACGTATGTTTGGGGTCATTGTCCTGCTGGAAGACCCAGGATCTTGGACGCAAACCCAGCTTTCTGACACTGGGCCCTACAGTGCGACCCCAAAATCCTTTGGTAATCCTCAGATTTCATGATGCCTTGCACACAGTCAAGGCACCCAGTGCCAGAGGCAGCAAAACAACCCAAAACATCATTGAACCTCCACCCATATTTTACCGTAGGTTACTGTGTTTTGTTCTTTGTAGGCCTCATTCCGTTTTCGGTAAACAGTAGTAGAATGATGTGCTTTACCGAAAAGCTCTATCTTGGTCCTCATCTGTCCACAAGACGTTTTCCCAGAAGGCTTTTTGGCTTACTCAAGTACATTTTGGCAAACTGTAGTCTTGCTTTTTTATGTCTCTGTGTCAGCAGTGGGTTTCCTCATCTGGGTCTCCTGCCATAGCGTTTCATTTCATTTAAATGTCTCGACGGATAGTTCAGCGCTGACACTGATGCTCCCTGAGCCTGCAGGACAGCTTGAATGTCTTTGGAACATGTTTGGGGCTGCTTATCCACCATCCGGACTATTCTGCGTTGCAATCTTTCATCAAATTTTCCTCATCCGTCCACGACCAGGGAGATTAGCTACAGTGCCATGGGTTGCAAACTTCTTGATAATGTTGCGCACTGTGGACAAAGGCAAATCTAGTTCTCTGGAGATGGACTTGTAACCTTGAGATTGTTGATATTTTGCCACAATTTTGGTTCTCAGGTCCTCAGACAGTTCTCGTCTCCTCTTTCTGTTGTCCATGCTTAGTGTGGCACAGACAGACACACAATGCAAAGGTTAAGTGAACGTCTCTCCTTTTTATCTGCTTTTCAGGTGTGATTTCTATATTGCCCACACCTGTTACTTGCCCCAGGTGAGTTTACAGGAGCATCACATGCTTGTAACATTCTTATTTATCCGCAGTTGTGAAAGGTTGCCAATACTTTTGTCCTGCCCATTTTTGGAGGTTTGTGTGACATTATGTCGAATTTGCTTTCTTTCCTCCTTTAGTTTTTTTTTTGTTTTGTCCCAATACACACAAAGGGAATAAACATGTGTATAGCAAAACATGTGTTAATGCAATACGTTTCGTGAGAAATACATGATTTCCTGGAGAAATGTTCAAGGGTGCCAACAATTTCGGCCATGACTGTATGACCTCTCTGCTGTGACCCCGGCCAGGGCTTAGGGCTCGTTCACACTAGGCTGTTTTGCCAACGCTTGCCAAACGCCCCTTAGCGTTTGGCAAGCGTTGGGTTTTCCGGCGTTTGCGGAGCGTTTTTTAACGCTCGGCAAACGCTCCGCAAACGCCGCATGCGCGGTTTAGCGGCGGTTGCTAGGCATTTTTGCCGAGCGTTAATAACGCCCCACAAACGCCTATATGCAGTTTGAGTGGTGTTACCGCTCCGCAAATGCCCCGCAACCGAGTCGCAACCGCACCGCAAACGCCGGCCGGGCGTTTGCGGAGCGGCACCATAGACAAGAATAGGAGGCTTCAAAGCCTCCTGACTCGTCCAGAGGCGTCCGTTTTTGCCGCGACGCAACGCGACGCAAACGCTCCCGTTGTTAGAACAGCACCATGTGCTGTAATGTGCAGAATTGGCAGAGGCGTTTGGGAAGCGGTTTAATAAAAAAAACGCTTCCCAAACGCCTCTCTGCCGCCTGCACACAAGGCTAGTGTGAAACGTAGTCTTAGAGTCAAGAATGTCCACGGCAATCAAGCCACCAACTAAGCTTCATATTGCATAAGATTTGTGTCGTCTTTGATTGGATGCAGACTGGAGATCAATGGTCTATCAGCCAAACATTTCCAACCAACCTATTACACTGGTCAGGTGAACTATTTATTGGCAGGTTATAAAACCTTCATCAATCCTTGATAAGATTGACTGCAATGAGTACAGCTTCGCTGGTGGTGTGTCCATGGAGAAGGGAGAGGGCAGAGAAAAACTCTGGCTTTTTGGAGGAATGGTAGGAACAGGTCAGACCACATCAGTGACTGTCCTCTGCATTCTATAGGCAGACCAGTATATGGCACAGGTGGGCTTCCAAAAAGGTAGGTGTTCTGTAGATGGTTCATTGGGGGCGGAGCTCAGTGTGTTTCTAGATGATTCCTCAGGGGCAGAGCTAATAGTGTTCTGTAGCTATCTCCTCACTGGAAGAGTTCAAAGTGTTCTGCCTTCATACATTGTTCCTCAGGGACAGAGCTCAGTGTGTTCTGTCTCAGTAGATGGATCCTCAGGGGCAGTGCTTAGCCTGTTCTGTAGATGGTTTCTGGGTGGCAGAGTTTATGTGTTCTGTCTCTGTGTAATTTTCCCTTGGGGCAGAGGTCAGCATGTTCTCTGTATTTTTCCTCAAGAGCAGACCTCAGTATGTCCTGTGTCTGTAAATGGTTCCTCAAGGGAAGAGCTCAGTGTGTTCAGTCTCTGTAGATGGTTCTTCAGGGGCAGAGCTCAGTATGTTCACTGATGGTTCCTTGGTGGCAGAGTTCCTTGAGGAAAGAGATAAGTATGCTATGTTTCTGTAGATGGCTCATCTAGGGAAGAGCTCAGTGCGTTCTGTAAATGGTTCCTATTAGGCAGAACTCAATATGTTCTATATCTGTAGATGGTTCCTCAAACGAAGATCTTAGTGTGTTCAGTCCCTGTAGATGGTTCCTCAAACGAAGATCTTAGTGTGTTCAGTCTCTGTAGATGGTTCCTCAAATGAAGATCTTAGTGTGTTCAGTCCCTGTAGATGGTTCCTCAAATGAAGATCTTAGTGTGTTCAGTCTCTGTAGATGGTTCCTCAAATGAAGAGCTTAGTGTTTCAGTCTCTGTAGATGGTTCCTCAGGGGCAGAGCTCAGTATGTTCTATTTCTGTAGATAAGTCCCTCAAGGGAAGAGCTCAGTGTATTCAGTCTTTGTAGATGGTTCTTCAGGGACAGAACTCAATGTTTTCTGCAGACAGTTACTCAATATGTTCTATATCTGTAGATGGTTCCTCAAGGGAAGAGCTCAGTGTGTTCAGTCTCTGTAGATGGTTCTTCAGGGGCAGAGCTCAGTATGTTCACTGATGGTTGCTTGGTGGCAGAGTTCCTTGAGGAAAGAGATAAGTATGCTATGTTTCTGTAGATGGCTCATCTAGGGAAGAGCTCAGTGCATTCTGTAAATGGTTCCTCTTAGGCAGAAACTCAATATGTTCTATATCTGTAGATGGTTCCTCAAACGAAGATCTTAGTGTGTTCAGTCCCTGTAGATGGTTCCTCAAATGAAGATCTTAGTGTGTTCAGTCCCTGTAGATGGTTCCTCAAATGAAGATCTTAGTGTGTTCAGTCTCTGTAGATGGTTCCTCAAATGAAGATCTTAGTGTGTTCAGTCTCTGTAGATGGTTCCTCAAATGAAGATCTTAGTGTGTTCAGTCTCTGTAGATGGTTCCTCAAATGAAGAGCTTAGTGTGTTCAGTCTCTGTAGATGGTTCCTCAAATGAAGAGCTTAGTGTGTTCAGTCTCTGTAGATGGTTCCTCAAATGAAGAGCTTAGTGTGTTCAGTCTCTGTAGATGGTTCCTCAAATGAAGAGCTTAGTGTGTTCAGTCTCTGTAGATGGTTCCTCAAATGAAGAGCTTAGTGTGTTCAGTCTCTGTAGATGGTTCCTCAAATGAAGAGCTTAGTGTGTTCAGTCTCTGTAGATGGTTCCTCAAATGAAGAGCTTAGTGTGTGTGTTCAGTCTCTGTAGATGGTTCCTCAAATGAAGAGCTTAGTGTGTTCAGTCTCTGTAGATGGTTCCTCAAATGAAGAGCTTAGTGTGTTCAGTCTCTGTAGATGGTTCCTCAAATGAAGAGCTTAGTGTGTTCAGTCTCTGTAGATGGTTCCTCAGGGGCAGAGCTCAGTATGTTCTATTTCTGTAGAAAAGTCCTCAAGGGAAGAGCTCAGTGTATTCAGTCTTTGTAGATGGTTCTTCAGGGACAGAACTCAGTGTTTTCTGTAGACAGTTACTCAATATGTTCTATATCTGTAGATGGTTCCTCAAGGGAAGAGCTCAGCTTGTTCAGTATCTGTAGATGGTTTTTCAAGGACGAAGCTCAATATTTTCTGTAGATGGTTCCTTGGGGGACAGACCTCAGTGCGCTATGTCCCTGTAGAAGGATCCTGAAGGGCAGAGCTCAATTTTCTTTCACACCTGATAGATGATGAGTCCTGAGGACTGACAGCTCAGAGGTAGAGGATTTGGCATGGCTGCCAGGAGGAGGGGTTTATTGTTGGGGCTGTGAAGTCAGACTCACACTGTTCCTTATAATCAATATTTAGGGTCTTCCCTAATGGTCGCGGTTCAGACAGCAGAGGGTTTCTTACTGGGGACATTTTACAGCCTAGTGTCATATATAGGAGCCAAAACTCTGTGCAGAGAACCTGGGAGACCCCAACTCATACAGATCATTGTCTGTTTATGAGATCCTCATAATGAGGATATGAGATATAGAACTGTATACCCCCAGTAGGCGAGGTATTTCCCCCAAAATGTCCCACACCCTCACAGGAGAACGTGAGGTACTTCCTCTAAAATGTCCAAAAACCTCACAAGCGATCTTACAGAGAAAAAAGTGACTTCCATGAATGATGAGGGTTCCTAGTATGATCCGGGCCCCAAATGGGACAAGAAATCCCACCCCCTATCTGCTAGTCCATCCTACTATCTAACTATGTGTTCTTCCTGTAGACAGTGCTGGTGATCTCTTACCATGAACCACAGAATCCTGAATATCGCAACTTCCAGAAGAATCTCATCCAACGCAGCAAGGAGGAGTTCGGGGTAACCCTCAACTATTCTCTGGTAAGTGACCCACCCGCACATGGGCACCCATCCAAAACGCCCCACCACATCAGTCCTGTAACTATCCATACAGAATAAGAACCGATACCAAGAATCACATCCATTAAACAGGACAAGAGAAGGAGAACTGTACATTGCACATACATACTGTATATTGTAGAGGTGATTGGTCTATGCGACTCGAGGGGATCAGATGGATCTTGCTGTCAGATTTCTCTATATATTTGCAGATATCCGGGTTTGTGGAATAGAATAGAATATCCTGTGAGGACTTGGGTGGGTCAGGAATAATCTGAACTCTCTTTGTCTTCACAGAAGAACCTGATTGCAGGATGTTTCTATGATGGAGTCCTGCTGTATGCCCATGCTTTGAATGAGACACTGCAGGAAGGTGGATCGCAAAAAGACGGGATTCGGATAGTACAGAAGATCCAGGATCGCACCATGCAGGGTGAGGAACATTCTCTCATTGTACTGATCATTTCTTCACCTCATCTGCTCAGTATGTTCTATCTCTTTAGATTCCTCAAGGGCAAAGTTCAGTGTGTTCTGTCTCTGTAGATGGTTCCTCAAAGGCAGAGTGGGTGGTTCCTTGGGGGCAGAGCTCAGTGTGGTCTGTCTCTGTAGATGGCTCATAGGGACCAGAGCACATTGTGTTCTATCTCTGTAGATGGTTCCTCAGGGGCAGAGCCTAGTGTGTTCTATCTCTGTAGATAGTGGAGCAGATCAGTGTGTTCTGTCTCTGTAGATGGTTCCTGGGGGGCAGAGCTCAGTGTGTTCTGTCTCTGTAGATGGTTCCTGGGGGGCAGAGCTCAGTGTGGTCTGTCTCTGTAGATGGTTCCTGGGGGGCAGAGCTCAGTGTGGTCTGTCTCTGTAGATGGTTCCTCAGGGGCAGAGCCTAGTGTGTTCTATCTCTGTAGATAGTTTCATGGGGCAGAGCTCAGTGTGTTCTGTCTCTGTAGATGGTTCCTGGGGGGCAGAGCTCAGTGTGGTCTGTCTCTATAGCTCATAGATGGTTCCTGGCAGGCAGGGCTCAGTGTGTTCTGTCTCTGTAGATGGTTCCTGGGGGGCAGAGCTCTGGGGGGCAGAGCTCAGTGTGTCTGTTCTGTCTCTGTAGATGTAGATGGTTCCTGGCGGGCAGAGCTCAGTGTGGTCTGTCTTTGTAGATGGTTCCTGGCGGGCAGAGCTCAGTGTGGTCTGTCTCTGTAGATGGTTCCTGGGGGGCAGAGCTCAGTGTGGTCTGTCTCTGTGTAGAGTGTGGTCTTCCTGTAGATGGTTCCTGGCGGGCAGAGCTCAGTGTGGTCTGTCTCTGTAGATGGTTCCTGGGGGGCAGAGCTCAGTGTGGTCTGTCTCTGTAGATGGTTCCTGGGGGGCAGAGCTCAGTGTGGTCTGTCTCTGTAGATGGTTTCCTGGTGGGCAGAGCTCAGTGTGGTCTGTCTCTGTAGATGGTTCCTGGGGGGCAGAGCTCAGTGTGGTCTGTCTGTAGATGGTTCCTAGATGGTTCCTGGGGGGCAGAGCTCAGTGCGGTCTGTCTCTGTAGATGGTTCCTGGTATGCAGAGCTCAGTGTGGTCTGTCTCTGTAGATGGTTCCTGGCATGCAGAGCTCAGTGTGGTCTGTCTCTGTAGATGGTTCCTGGGGCAGGCAGAGCTCAGTGTGGTCTGTCTCTGTAGATGGTTCCTGGGAGGCAGAGCTCAGTGTGGTCTGTCTCTGTAGATGGTTCCTGGGGGGGGGGGCAGAGCTCAGTGTGGTCTGTCACTGTAGATAGTTCCTAGGGGGCAGAGCTCAGTGTGGTCTGTCTCTGTCTCTGTAGATGTCTCCTAGATGTCTCCTAGGGGGGCAGAGCTCAGTGTGGTCTGTCACTGTAGATGATTCCTGGCAGGCAGAGCTCAGTGTGGTCTGTCTCTGTAGATGGTTCCTGGGGGGCAGAGCTCAGTGTGGTCTGTCTCTGTAGATGGTTCCTGGGGGGCAGAGCTCAGTGTGGTCTGTCTCTGTAGATGGTTCCTGGGGGGCAGAGCTCAGTGTGGTCTGTCTCTGTAGATGGTTCCTGGCGGGCAGGGCTCAGTGTGTTCTGTCTCTGTAGATGGTTCCTGGGGGGCAGAGCTCAGTGTGGTCTGTCTCTATAGATGGTTCCTGGGGGGCAGAGCTCAGTGTGGTCTGTCTCTGTAGATGGTTCCTGGGGGGCAGAGCTCAGTGTGGTTTGTCTCTGTAGATGGTTCTTGGTGGGCAGAGCTCAGTGTGGTCTGTCTCTGTAGATGGTTCCTGGGGGGCAGAGCTCAGTGTGGTCTGTCTCTGTAGATGGTTCCTGGGGGGCAGAGCTCAGTGTGGTCTGTCTCTGTAGATGGTTCCTGGCGGGCAGAGCTCAGTGTGGTCTGTCTCTATAGATAGTTTCTGGGGGGCAGGGCTCAGTGTGGTCTGTCTTTGTAGATGGTTCCTGGCGGGCAGAGCTCAGTGTGGTCTGTCTCTGTAGATGGTTCTCTGGTTCCTGGGGGGCAGAGCTCAGTGTGGTCTGTCTCTGTAGATGGTTCCTGGCGGGCAGAGCTCAGTGTGGTCTGTCTCTGTAGATGGTTCCTGGTTATGGGGGGCAGAGCTCAGTGTGGTCTGTCTCTGTAGATGGTTCCTGGGGGGCAGAGCTCAGTGTGGTCTGTCTCTGTAGATGGTTCCTGGGGGGCAGAGCTCAGTGTGGTCTGTCTGGGGGGCAGAGCTAGATGGTTCCTGGGGGGCAGAGCTCAGTGTGGTCTGTCTCTGTAGATGGTTCCTGGGGGGCAGAGCTCAGTGTGGTCTGTCTCTGTAGATGGTTCCTGGGGGCAGAGGGGGCAGAGCTCAGTGTGGTCTGTCTCTGTAGATAGTTCCTGGGGGAGCAGAGCTCAGTGTGGTCTGTCTCTGTAGATGGTTCCTGGGGGGCAGGCAGGGCTCAGTGTGGTCTGTCTGTCTGTAGATGGTTCCTGAGGGGCAGGGCTCAGTGTGGTCTGTCTCTGTAGATGGTTCCTGGGGGGCAGAGCTCAGTGTGGTCTGTCTCTGTAGATGGTTCCTGGGGGCAGAGCTCAGTGTGGTCTGTCTCTGTAGATGGTTCCTGGGGGCAGAGCTCAGTGTGGTCTGTCTCTGTAGATGGTTCCTGGGGGCAGAGCTCAGTGTGGTCTGTCTCTAGATAGATGGTTCCTGGCCTGGGGGCAGAGCTCAGTGTGGTCTGTCTCTGTAGATGGTTCCTGAGGCAGGGGCAGAGCTCAGTGTGGTCTGTCTCTGTAGATGGTTCCTGGGGGGCAGAGCTCAGTGTGGTCTGTCTCTGTAGATGGTTCCTGGGGGCAGAGCTCAGTGTGGTCTGTCTCTGTAGATGGTTCCTGGTGGGCAGAGCACAGTGTGCTCTATCTCTGTAGATGGTTCCTGGGGGGCAGAGCTCAGTGTGGTCAGTCTCTATAGATGGTTCTTCGATGGCAGAACTCAGTGTGTCTTCTCTGTAGATGAATCCTTGGGGTAGAGCCCAGCTGCTGCAGGCCAAGCAGAGTACAGGCGATCGGATCCTAAAGTTGCACCCTCCCCTGTAAAACCTAATGTGACAGGGAAGCCACACGGGCCCCATGGAGCATGGGTAGGGTTGCCATTGCGACCCCTGCAACCCCTGAAGCTCTGCCAGTGCTGGGAGATCACCCCAGTGGTAACACCAAGGATTCTGAGAGACCAGCCCACTGGTCACACTCTGATTCTGGGGGGAGATTCTCATGTTTTCCTGTAGATGGTTCCTGGGGGGCCACAGGTATCACTGGCACGGTCAGCATGGACAAGACCAATGACCGCAACACGGACTTTGACCTCTGGGCGATGGCTGACCATGACAGCGGCCATTTTCAGGTGAGTTTGGAGCAGACTGCATCAGTCATTGATTGGTCATTGTGTGGTTACCTATTTATAGAGCGCCCACCTGGTTTCCACAGTGCTGGTAATGAAGAACAAAATATGAGGTATGAGGGTCCCGATCATAACATCTAATGGAGGACAGGAGGTATGAGGGTCCCGATCATAATATCTAATGGAGGACAGGAGGTATGAGGGCCCCGATCATTACATCTAATGGAGGACAGGAGTATGGGGGTCCCGATCATAATATCTAATGGAGGACAGGAGGTATGAGGGCCCGATCATTACATCTAATGGAGGACAGGAGGTATGAGGGTCCCGATCATAACATCTAATGGAGGACAGGAGGTATGAGGGTCCCGATCATAACATCTAATGGAGGACAGGAGGTATGAGGGTCCCGATCATAACATCTAATGGAGGACAGGAGGTATGAGGGTCCCCGAGAGCTCATGGTCATCTAATAGATGGTTCTTCGATGGCAGAACTCAGTGGGTCTGTCTGAGATAATCCTTGGGGGAGGGCCCCCGATCATTACATCGGATAATGGAGGACAGGAGGTATAATGTGAGGGAAGCCAGACGGGCCCCCGATAGGGTTTACATCAACCCCTGAATGGAGGACAGGATCACCCCAGTGGTAAGGATTCAGGAGGGTCCCGATCATAACATCTAATGGAGGACAGGAGGTATGGGGGTCCCGATCATAACATCTGGACAAGACCAATGAGGGAGGACAGGAGGTATGAGGGTCCCGATCATAACATCTAATGGAGGACAGGAGGTATGGGGGTCCCGATCATAACATCTAATGGAGGACAGGAGGTATGAGGGTCCCGATCATAACATCTAATGGAGGACAGGAGGTATGAGGGTCCCGATCATAACATCTAATAGGAGGACAGGAGGTATGAGGGTCCCGATCATCATTACATCTAATGGAGGACAGGAGGTGTGAGGGTCCCGATCATTACATCTAATGGAGGACAGGAGGTATGAGGGTCCCGATCATTACATCTAATGGAGGACAGGAGGTGTGAGGGTCCCGATCATAACATCTAATGGAGGACAGGAGGTATGAGGGTCCCGATCATAACATCTAATGGAGGACAGGAGGTATGGGGGTCCCGATCATAACATCTAATAGAGGACAGGAGGTATGGGGGTCCCGATCATTACATCTAATGGAGGACAGGAGGTATGAGGGTCCCGATCATTACATCTAATGGAGGACAGGAGGTATGAGGGGTCCCGATCATAACATCTAATGGAGGACAGGGAGGTATGTATGGGGTCCCGATCATTACATCTAATGGAGGACAGGAGGTATGAGGGTCCCGATCATAACATCTAATGGAGGACAGGAGGTATGGGGGTCCCGATCATTACATCTAATAGAGGACAGGAGGTATGAGGGTCCCGATCATTACATCTAATGGAGGACAGGAGGTATGAGGGTCCCGATCATTACATCTAATGGAGGACAGGAGGTATGAGGGTCCCGATCATAACATCTAATGGAGGACAGGAGGTATGAGGGTCCCGATCATAACATCTAATGGAGGACAGGAGGTATGAGGGTCCCGATCATAACATCTAATGGAGGACAGGAGGTATGAGGGTCCCGATCATAACATCTAATGGAGGACAGGGAGGTATGAGGGTCCCGATCATAACATCTAATAGAGGACAGGAGGTATGAGGGTCCCGATCATAACATCTAATAGAGGACAGGAGGTATGAGGGTCCCGATCATTACATCTAATAGAGGACAGGAGGTGTGAGGGTCCCGATCATTACATCTAATGGAGGACAGGAGGTGTGAGGGTCCCGATCATTACATCTAATGGAGGACAGGAGGTATGGGGGTCCCGATCATAACATCTAATGGAGGACAGGAGGTATGGGGGTCCCGATCATTACATCTAATGGAGGACAGGAGGTATGAGGGTCCCGATCATTACATCTAATGGAGGACAGGAGATATGAGGGTCCCGATCATTACATCTAATAGAGGACAGGAGGTATGAGGGTCCCGATCATTACATCTAATGGAGGACAGGAGGTATGAGGGTCCCGATCATTACATCTAATGGAGGACAGGAGGTATGGAGGGTCCCGATCATTACATCTAATGGAGGACAGGAGGTATGAGGGTCCCGATCATTACATCTAATGGAGGACAGAGGTATGGGGGTCCCGATCATTACATCTAATGGAGGACAGGAGGTATGAGGGTCCCGATCATTACATCTAATAGAGGACAGGAGGTATGAGGGTCCCGATCATTACATCTAATGGAGGACAGGAGGTATGAGGGTCCCGATCATTACATCTAATGGAGGACAGGAGGTATGAGGGTCCCGATCATTACATCTAATAGAGGACAGGAGGTATGAGGGTCCCGATCATTACATCTAATGGAGGACAGGAGGTATGAGGGTCCCGATCATTACATCTAATGGAGGACAGGAGGTATGAGGGTCCCGATCATTACATCTAATAGAGGACAGGAGGAGCCCCCAATGTCTGTACTCCTGACTGAGGAGCCCCCATCTCTGTACTCCTGACTGAGGAGCCCCCATCTCTGTACTCCTGACTGAGGAGCCCCCATCTCTGTACTCCTGACTGAGGAGCCCCCATGTCTGTGCTCCTGACTGAGGAGCCCCAAGTGTCTACTTCTGACTGAGGAGCCCCAAGTGTCTACTTCTGACTGAGGAGCCCCATGTGTCTACTTCTGACTGAGGAGCCCCTATGTCTGTACTCCTGACTGAGGAACCCCTATGTCTGTACTCCTGAGGAACCCCCATGTCTGTACTCCTGACTGAGGAGCCCCCATGTCTGTACTCCTGACTGAGGAGCCCCCATGTCTGTACTCCTGACCGAGGAGCCCCCAGTGTCTGTACTCCTGACTGAGGAGCCCCCATGCCTTTAGTCCTGACTGTGGAGCCCCCATGTCTGTACTCCTGACTGAGGAGCCCCCAGTGTCTTCTCCTGACTGAGGAGCCCCCAGTGTCTACTCCTGACTGAGGAGCCCCCATCTCTGTACTCTTGACTGAGGAGCCCCCATGTCTGTGCTCCTGACTGAGGAGCCCCAAGTGTCTACTTCTGACTGAGGAGCCCCTATGTTTGTACTCCTGACTGAGGAACCCCTATGTCTGTACTCCTGACTGAGGAACCCCCATGTCTGTACTCCTGACTGAGGATCCCCCATGTCTGTACTCCTGACTGAGGATCCCCCATGTCTGTACTCCTGACTGAGGAGCCCCCATGTCTGTACTCCTGACTGAGGAGCCCCAAGTGTCTACTTCTGACTGAGGAGCCCCAAGTGTCTACTTCTGACTGAGAAGCCCCTATGTCTGTACTCCTGACTGAGGAACCCCTATGTCTGTACTCCTGACTGAGGATCCCCCATGTCTGTACTCTGACTGAGGAGCCCCCATGTCTGTCTACTCCTGACTGAGGAGCCCCCATGTCTGTACTCCTGACTGAGGATCCCCCATGTCTGTACTCCTGACTGAGGAGCCCCCATGTCTGTACTCCTGACTGAGGAGCCCCCATGTGTCTACTCCTGACTGAGGAGCCCCCATGTCTGTACTCCTGACTGAGGAACCCCCATGTCTGTACTCCTGACTGAGGAACCCCCATGTCTGTACTCCTGACTGAGGAACCCCCATGTCTGTACTCCTGACTGAGGAACCCCCATGTCTGTACTCCTGACTGAGGATCCCCCATGTCTGTACTCCTGACTGAGGATCCCCCATGTCTGTACTCCTGACTGAGGAGCCCCCATGTCTGTACTCCTGACTGAGGAGCCCCCAGTGTCTACTCCTGACTGAGGAGCCCCCATGTCTGTACTCCTGACTGAGGAGCCCCCAGTGTCTTACTCCTGACTGAGGAGCCCCCAGTGTCTACTCCTGACTGAGGACCCCCCATGTCTGTACTCCTGACTGAGGATCCCCCATGTCTGCACTCCTGACTGAGGAGCCCCCATGTCTGTACTCCTGACTGAGGAGCCCCCATGTCTGTACTCCTGACTGAGGAGCCCCCATGTCTGTACTCCTGACTGAGGAACCCCCATGTCTGTACTCCTGACTGAGGATCCCCCATGTCTGTACTCCTGACTGAGGATCCCCCATGTCTGTACTCCTGACTGAGGAGCCCCCATGTCTGTACTCCTGACTGAGGAGCCCCAAGTGTCTACTTCTGACTGAGGAGCCCCCATGTCTGTACTCCTGACTGAGGAGCCCCCATGTCTGTACTCCTGACTGAGGAGCCCCCATGTCTGTACTCCTGACTGAGGAACCCCCGTGTCTGTACTCCTGACTGAGGAACCCCCATGTCTGTACTCCTGACTGAGGATCCCCCATGTCTGTACTCCTGACTGAGGATCCCCCATGTCTGTACTCCTGACTGAGGAGCCCCCATGTCTGTACTCCTGACTGAGGAGCCCCCAGTGTCTGTACTCCTGACTGAGGAGCCCTCATGTCTGTACTCCTGACTGAGGAGCCCCCAGTGTCTTCTCCTGACTGAGGAGCCCCCAGTGTCTACTCCTGACTGAGGATCCCCCATGTCTGTACTCCTGACTGAGGATCCCCCATGTCTGCACTCCTGACTGAGGAGCCCCCATGTCTGTACTCCTGACTGAGGAGCCCCCATGTCTGTACTCCTGACTGAGGAGCCCCCCATGTCTGTACTCCTGACTGAGGAGCCCCCATGTCTGTACTCCTGACTGAGGAGCCCCCATGTCTGTACTCCTGACTGAGGAGCCCCCATGTCTGTACTCCTGACTGAGGAGCCCCCATGTCTGTACTCCTGACTGAGGAGCCCCCATGTCTTCTCCTGACTGAGGAGCCCCCAGTGTCTACTCCTGACTGAGGAGCCCCCATGTCTGTACTCCTGACTGAGGAGCCCCCATGTCTGTACTCCTGACTGAGGAGCCCCCATGTCTGTACTCCTGACTGAGGAGCCCCCATGTCTGTACTCCTGACTGAGGAGCCCCCATGTCTGTGCTCCTGACTGAGGAGCCCCCATGTCTGTACTCCTGACTGAGGAGCCCCCATGTCTGTGCTCCTGACTGAGCAGCACTCGATGTCTTGTTGGTCAGCAGGAAAGACCCCGTGAGCTCAGCTTTGTGCAGACGTGGGGGGTGGGTTATATAAGATATATAGCGAGGGTCAGGTATACAGAATACTGTATATAGGGAGGGTCAGGTATACAGAATACTGTATATAGGGAGGGTCAGGTATACAGAATACTGTATATAGGGAGGGTCAGGTATATACTGTAAAGGATTCCGGGGTTCCATAAGAATACAGAATACTGTATATAGGGAGTGTATACAATATATATACTGGGGAGGCAGAGAGTAGTATATAGTATATATAGGAGTGGCGTATACACCGATCGATCGGCCATATGTATGACCACTGACAGGTGAGGAGAATATCTGGGGACAATGGCAGTGTATACAGCATGTCATATGTCTGTATATAGGGGGGTGGTATACGCTGTATACAGTGAGGAGTATACATGGTGGGGACTTGTGTATACAGTAAATGTAATGACGATATACAATAGAAACTTGTATATACAGTATACAGCGGGGTGACTCGGAGTATACAGCGGGGGGGGGGGGGGGGGATCTAACTATAGAGAGTTATGTATACAGTGTATATAGAGTATACAGCGGGGTGATGATGAGTATACAGCGGGGTGATGATGAGTATACAGCGGGGTGATGATGAGTATACAGCGGGGTGATGATGAGTATACAGGGGGGTGATGATGAGTATACAGCGGGGTGATGATGAGTATACAGGGGATGATGAGTATACAGCGGGGGGGATATGAGTATACAGCGGGGATGATGAGTATACAGCGGGGTGATGATGGTATACAGCGGGGTGATGATGATTATACAGCAGATCCTCTCTCTCTAAATATATATATGTCAGGGAGTAAAGTATACAATGTATATAGGAAGGGATATACAGTATATAGTAGTGGGGTGTTAGTACAGTATATAGCAGGATGATGAGTATACAGAGGGGGGATCTATGGATACAGTATATAGCAGGGTGATCAGTATACAGGGGGGATCTATGGATACAGTATATAGCAGGGTGATCAGTATACAGGGGGGGATCTATGGATACAGTATATAGCAGGATGATGAGTATACAGAGGGGGGATCTATGGATACAGTATATAGCAGGATGATGAGTATACAGAGGGGGGATCTATGGATACAGTATATAGCGGGGGTGATGAGTATACAGAGGGGGGATCTATGGATACAGTATATAGCAGGATGATGAGTATACAGAGGGGGGATCTATGGATACAGTATATAGCAGGATGATGAGTATACAGAGGGGGATCTATGGATACAGTATATAGCGGGGTGATGAGTATACAGAGGGGGGATCTATGGATACAGTATATAGCAGGGTGATGAGTATACAGAGGGGGATCTATGGATACAGTATATAGCGGGGTGATGAGTATACAGAGGGGGGATCTATGGATACAGTATATAGCAGGATGATGAGTATACAGAGGGGGGATCTATGGATACAGTATATAGCAGGATGATGAGTATACAGAGGGGGGATCTATGGATACAGTATATAGCAGGATGATGAGTATACAGAGGGGGGATCTATGGATACAGTATATAGCAGGGTGATCAGTATACAGGGGGGATCTATGGATACAGTATATAGCAGGGTGATCAGTATACAGAGGGGGGGATCTATGGATACAGTATATAGCGGGGTGATGAGTATACAGAGGGGGGATCTATGGATACAGTATATAGCAGGATGATGAGTATACAGAGGGGGGATCTATGGATACAGTATATAGCAGGGTGATCAGTATACAGAGGGGGGATCTATGGATACAGTATATAGCAGGATGATGAGTATACAGAGGGGGGGATCTATGGATACAGTATATAGCAGGATGATGAGTATACAGAGGGGGATCTATGGATACAGTATATAGCAGGATGATGAGTATACAGAGGGGGGATCTATGGATACAGTATATAGCAGGATGATGAGTATACAGAGGGGGATCTATGGATACAGTATATAGCAGGATGATGAGTATACAGAGGGGGATCTATGGATACAGTATATAGCAGGGTGATCAGTATACAGAGGGGGATCTATGGATACAGTATATATAGCAGGGTGTATATAGCGGGGTGATGAGTATACAGAGGGGGGATCTATGGATACAGTATATAGCGGGGTGATGAGTATACAGAGGGGGGATCTATGGATACAGTATATAGCGGGATGATGAGTATACAGAGGGGGGATCTATGGATACAGTATATAGCAGGATGATGAGTATACAGAGGGGGGATCTATGGATACAGTATATAGCGGGGTGATGAGTATACAGAGGGGGGGATCTATGGATACAGTATATAGCGGGGTGATGAGTATACAGAGGGGGGATCTATGGATACAGTATATAGCGGGGTGATCAGTATACAGAGGGGGGATCTATGGATACAGTATATAGCGGGGTGATGAGTATACAGAGGGGGATCTATGGATACAGTATATAGCGGGGTGATGAGTATACAGAGGGGGGATCTATGGATACAGTATATAGCAGGGTGATCAGTATACAGAGGGGGGGATCTATGGATACAGTATATAGCAGGGTGATCAGTATACAGAGGGGGGGATCTATGGATACAGTATATAGCAGGGTGATCAGTATACAGAGGGGGGGATCTATGGATACAGTATATAGCGGGGTGATCAGTATACAGAGGGGGGATCTATGGATACAGTATATAGCAGGAAGTTCTGTATATAGGCAGGGTATACAGTAGGTACGGTATATACATTATATACAGGGATACACCCTCCTGTGAGCATGTAGTCAGTGAAGGACGGCTGTGACCAGCGAAGGGTTAATGTTACTGGTATTCTGCCCATTCCATTCCAGTGATAAGAGCCCCCCCATCCCCCTCCTCTCCACAGACCCTCCAGCTGCTGCTTCTCATATAACAGCCTCTTCCAGGGACAGCACACCCAGCCTATGTATACTGACACCCCCGGGGCCCTCCGCCACTTCCACTACTGGGGGCCAATGTGTGCTGCCACACCTCAGAGGGCCCCCAGTATGGATGTACTGCAAGAGACCACCCAACACAATCATTATTATATGTCATTGTATCCGATATATCACAGAGCCGTCTGTACAGAGGAGCTGACACTCTAATGTCCCCTCCCCCGCAGTCACATCAGTCTCTGTACAGAGGAGCTTACACTCTAATGTCCCCTCCCCCCACAGTCCCATCAGTCTCTGTACCAGAGGAGCTTACACTCTAATGTCCCCTCCCCCACAGTCCCATCAGTCTCTGTACAGAGGAGCTTACACTCTAATGTCCCCTCCCCCACAGTCCCATCAGTCTCTGTACAGAGGAGCTGACACTCTAATGTCCCCTCCCCCACAGTCCCATCAGTCTCTGTACAGAGGAGCTTACACTCTAATGCCCCCCCCCCACAGTCCCATCAGTCTCCGTACAGAGGAGCTTACACTCTAATGTCCCCTCCCCCACAGTCCCAGCAGTCTCTGTACCAGAGGAGCTTACACTCTAATGTCCCCTCCCCCACAGTCCCATCAGTCTCTGTACAGAGGAGCTGACACTCTAATGTCCCCTCCCCCACAGTCCCATCAGTCTCTGTACAGAGGAGCTGACACTCTAATGTCCCCTCCCCCACAGTCCCATCAGTCTCTGTACAGAGGAGCTGACACTCTAATATCCCCTCCCCCACAGTCCCATCAGTCTCTGTACAGAGGAGCTGACACTCTAATGTCCCCCTCCCCCGCAGTCACATCAGTCTCTGTACAGAGGAGCTTACGCTCTAATGTCCCCTCCCCCGCAGTACCATCAGTCTCTGTACCGGAGGAGCTTACGCTCTAATGTCCCCTCCCCCGCAGTACCATCAGTCTCTGTACCGGAGGAGCTTACGCTCTAATGTCCCCTCCCCCCACAGTCCCATCAGTCTCTGTACCGGAGGAGCTTACGCTCTAATGTCCCCTCCCCCGCAGTCCCATCAGTCTCTGTACAGAGGAGCTGACACTCTAATGTCCCCTCCCCCACAGTCCCCATCAGTCTCTGTACCAGAGGAGCTGACACTCTAATGTCCCCTCCCCCACAGTCCCATCAGTCTCTGTACCAGAGGAGCTTACACTCTAATGTCCCCTCCCCCACAGTCCCATCAGTCTCTGTACCAGAGGAGCTTACGCTCTAATGTCCCCTCCCCCACAGTCCCATCAGTCTCTGTACCAGAGGAGCGTACACTCTAATGTCCCCTCCCCCACAGTCCCATCAGTCTCTGTACCAGAGGAGCGTACACTCTAATGTCCCCTCCCCCGCAGTCCCATCAGTCTCTGTACAGAGGAGCTTACACTCTAATGTCCCCTCCCCCACAGTCCCATCAGTCTCTGTACCAGAGGAGCTTACACTCTAATGTCCCCTCCCCCGCAGTCCCCATCAGTCTCTGTACCAGAGAGCTGACACTCTAATGTCCCCTCCCCCTCAGTCACATCAGTCTCTGCACCCAAAGAGCAGTGTCAGTTGGTGTCAGTATCAGTGGGTGTCAGTGGGTGTCAGTGGTTCTCAGTGGGTGTCAGTGAATATCAGTGGGCGTCAGTGGTTGTCAATGAGTATCAGTTTGTGTCAGTGGTTTCTCAGTAAGTGTCAGTGGCGTCAGTGCTTGTCAGTGGTTCTCAGTGAGTGTCAGTGGTTCTCAGTGAGTGTCAGTGGTTCTCAGTGGTTCTCAGTGGGTGTCAGTGGTTCTCAGTGGGTGTCAGTGGGTGTCAGTGGTTGTCAGTGGGTGTCAGGCCTCCAGTATGAGCGCCATCCATTGACCGAGTTCTCTCCATCTTCTCACAGATCGTTGGTCATTATGATGGGATAACAAAACAGATTAACTGGACCGGGACCCCCATCCTGTGGCTGAAGGGGGCCCCCCCACTGGACAGCCCACCCTGTGTATTTGATACAGATGACCCGAGCTGTGTGAAGAGTAAGTGACACCCCGCGCTCTGTGCTCTCTGCTCACATTGTCCTCCATTGTCACTGCTGTCTGTTCTGTTTATTCCAGCTCCGCTCTCCACCTTGGCCATGGTGGCGCTGGGCGCCGGACTCACCCTGCTCATCTTTGGGATGGCCAGCATCATTGTAATGAGGTCAGTGATTGGACCCTCCCACCCACTGTGTGTGCCGGGGGGGTCATACCCGAATCCCCCCCCCACCCAATACACAGCCATCCCATCCCCCGACTGTACCCCAATACACATCTATCCCACCCCCACTGTTCCCCCCAATACACATCCATCCCATCCCCCACTGTACACCCAATACAGAGCCATCCCACCCCCCACTGTACTCCCAATACACATCCATCCCATCCCCCAACTGTACCCCCAATACACATCCATCCCACCCCCACTGTTCCCCCAATACACATCCATCCCATCCCCCACTGTACACCCAATACAGAGCCATCCCACCCCCCACTGTACCCCCAATACACAGCCATCCCACCCCCACTGTACACCCAATACAGAGCCATCCCACCCCCCACTGTACCCCCAATACACATCCATCCCATCCCCCACTGTACACCCAATACAGAGCCATCCCACCCCCCACTGTACCCCCAATACACAGCCATCCCATCCCCCAACTGTACCCCCAATACACATTCATCCCACCCCCCACTGTACTCCCCAATACACATCCATCCCATCCCCAACTGTACCCCCCAATACACATCCATCCCACCCCCCAACTGTACTCCCCAATACACATCCATCCCATCCCCCACTGTACCCCCCAATACACATCCATCCCATCCCCCACTGTACCCCCAATACACATCCATCCCATCCCCAACTGTACCCCCCAATACACATCCATCCCATCCCCAACTGTACCCCCCAATACACATCCATCCCACCCCCCAACTGTACCCCCCAATACACATCCATCCCATCCCCCCCAACTGTACCCCCCAATACACATCCATCCCATCCCCAACTGTACCTCTATTACACATCCATCCCACCCCCCACTGTACCCCCAATACACATCCATCCCACCCCCCACTGTACCTCTATTACACATCCATCCCACCCCCCACTGTACCCCCAATACACATCCATCCCACCCCCCACTGTACTCCCAATACACATCCATCCCATCCCCCACTGTACCCCCAATACACATCCATCCCACCCCCCCCACTGTACTCCCAATACACATCCATCCCACCCCCCCCACTGTACCCCCAATACACATCCATCCCACCCCCCACTGTACCCCCAATACACATCCATCCCACCCCCACTGTACCCCCAATGCACATTCATCCCACCCCCCACTGTACACCCCATACACATCCATCCCACCCCCCACTGTACCTCTATTACACATCCATCCCACCCCCCCACTGTACCCCCAATACACATCCATCCCACCCCCACTGTACTCCCCATACACACATCCATCCCATCCCCAACTGTACCCCCCAATACACATCCATCCCACCCCCCAACTGTACCCCCAATACACATCCATTCCCACCCCCCACTGTACCCCCAATACACATCCATCCCATCCCCAACTGTACCCCCAATACACATCCATCCCACCCCCCAACTGTACCCCCCAATACACATCCATCCCACCCCCCAACTGTACCCCCCAATACACATCCATCCCATCCCCAACTGTACCTCTATTACACATCCATCCCACCCCCCACTGTACCCCCAATACACATTCATCCCACCCCCCACTGTACCCCCAATACACATTCATCCCACCCCCCACTGTACTCCCAATACACATCCATCCCACCCCCCACTGTACTCCCCAATACACATCCATCCCACCCCCCACTGTACTCCCCATACACATCCATCCCACCCCCCACTGTACCCCCAATACACATCCATCCCACCCCCCACTGTACTCCCCAATACACATCCATCCCATCCCCCACTGTACCCCCAATACACATCCATCCCACCCCCACTGTACCCCCAATGCACATTCATCCCATCCCCCCCCACTGTACACCCAATACACATCCATCCCACCCCCCCACTGTACTCCCCATACACATCCATCCCACCCCCACTGTACCCCCAATACACATTCATCCCACCCCCCACTGTACTCCCCAATACACATCCATCCCATCCCCAACTGTACCCCCCAATACACATCCATCCCACCCCCCAACTGTACCCCCAATACACATCCATCCCACACCCCCCCACTGTACCCCCAATACACATCCATCCCATCCCCAAAACTGTACCCCCCAATACACATCCATCCCACCCCCCAACTGTACCCCCCAATACACATCCATCCCACCCCCCCCCAACTGTACCCCCCAATACACATCCATCCCATCCCCAACTGTACCTCTATTACACATCCATCCCACCCCCCACTGTACCCCCAATACACATTCATCCCACCCCCCACTGTACCCCCAATACACATTCATCCCACCCCCCACTATACCCCCAATACACATCCATCCCATCCCCCACTGTACCCCCAATACACATCCATCCCACCCCCCACTGTACCCCAATACACATCCATCCCACCCCCCACTGTACTCCCCATACACATCCATCCCACCCCCCACTGTACCCCCAATACACATCCATCCCACCCCCCACTGTACTCCCCATACACATCCATCCCACCCCCCACTGTACCCCCAATACACATCCATCCCACCCCCCACTGTACTCCCCATACACATCCATCCCATCCCCCACTGTACCCCCAATACACATCCATCCCACCCCCCACTACTGTACTTCCCATACACCCACCCAATACATATCAATCCCAAACCCCCACACTGTACCCCCCATACACTCACCCAATACACATCCACCCCACCCCTCCACTATACCCCCCCCCCATACACCCGCCCAATACACATCCATCTCAACCCCCACTGTACCCACAATACACATCCATCCCACCCCCCACTGTACCCCCCCATACACCAAACCAATACATATCCATCCCACTCCCCCCCACTGTACCCCCCATACACCCACCCAATACACATCCACCCCACCCCTCCACTGTACCCCCCATACACCCACCCAATACACATCCACCCCACCCCTCCACTGTACCCCCCCATACACCTACCCAATACACACATCCATCCCAACCCCCACTGTACTCCCCCATACACCCTCCCAATACACATCCATCCCAACCCCCACTGTACTCCCCCATACACCCACCCAATACACATCCATCCCAACCCCCACTGTACTCCCCCATACACCCGCCCAATACATATCAATCCCACCCTCCCATACACCCACCTAATACATATCCATCCCATACACATTCACGCCACCCCTCCACTATACCCCCCCCCATACACCCACCCAATACACATCCATCCCATCCCCCTAAACTGTACTCCCCATACACCCACCCAATACACATCTGTACTGGGAGGTGAAGGGATTGCACTGGGAGGTGAGGGGATTATACTGGGAGGTGAGGGGGTTATACTGGGAGGTGAGGGGATTATACTGGGAGGTGAGGGGATCATACTGGGAGGTGAGAGGGTTATACTGGGAGGTGAGGGGTTATACTGGGAGGTGAGGGGATTATACTGGGAGGTGAGGGGATTATACTGGGAGGTGAGGGGATTATACTGGGAGGTGAGGGGATTATACTGGGAGGTGAGAGGGTTATACTGGGAGGTGAGGGGATTATACTGGGAGGTGAGGGGATCATACTGGGAGGTGAGGGGATTATACTGGGAGGTGAGGGGATTATTCTGGGAGGTGAGAGGGTTATACTGGGAGGTGAGGGGATTATACTGGGAGGTGAGGGGATTATTCTGGGAGGTGAGGGGATCATACTGGGAGGTGAGGGGGTTATTCTGGGAGGTGAGGGGATTATACTGGGAGGTGAGGGGGTTATTCTGGGAGGTGAGGGGATTATACTGGGAGGTGAGGGGGTTATTCTGGGAGGTGAGGGGATTATACTGGGAGGTGAGGGGGTTATTCTGGGAGGTGAGGGGGTTATACTGGGAGGTGAGGGGATTATTCTGGGAGGTGAGGGGATTATACTGGGAGGTGAGGGGATTATACTGGGAGGTGAGGGGATTATTCTGGGAGGTGAGGGGATTATACTGGGAGGTGAGGGGATTATTCTGGGAGGTGAGGGGATTATACTGGGAGGTGAGGGGATTGCGCTGGGAGGTGAGAGATTATACTGGGAGGTGAGGGGATTATACTGGGAGGTGAGAGATTATACTGGGAGGTGAGGGGATTATACTGGGAGGTGAGAGATTATACTGGGAGGTGAGGGGATTGCGCTGGGAGGTGAGAGATTATACTGGAGGTGAGGGGATTGGGCTGGGAGGTGAGAGATTATACTGGGAGGTGAGGGGATTATACTGGGAGGTGAGGGGATTATACTGGTAGTGAAGGATTTATACTGGGAGGTGAGGGGATTATACTGGTAGTGAAGGATTTATACTGGGAGGTGAGGGGATTATACTGGGAGGTTAGGGGATTATACTGGGAGGTGAGGGGATTGCACTGGGAGGTGAGAGATTAGACTGGTAGTGAAGGATTTATACTGGGAGGTGAGGGGATTATACTGGGAGGTGAGGGGATTATACTGGGAGGTGAGGGGATTATACTGGGAGGGTGAGAGATTATACTGGGAGGTGAGAGGATTGCGCTGGGAGGCGAGAGATTATACTGGGAGGTGAGGGGATTATACTGGGAGGTGAGGGGATTATACTGGTAGTGAAGGATTTATACTGGGAGGTGAGGGGATTATACTGGTAGTGAAGGATTTATACTGGGAGGTGAGGGGATTATACTGGGAGGTTAGGGGATTATACTGGGAGGTGAGGGGATTGCACTGGGAGGTGAGAGATTAGACTG